CTTCCGATCCACAGCCTCATCAGTATTTGGACTTTTTAAAGCTCGTAGAAACAAGACAAGGTGCACCGGTTTCATAGATGCAACCTTAACTTACTATTTAGATGAGATCTTTCTAAAGAAAAAAAAAAAGAGATGATATATTTTTTGTAAACAATATTTCTATCACAGGCATCCATAAACTGAAATGACTACAGTTGTGCAAACAGATGTCACAGTGAAGTTGAGCATTTGGAGAAACAACAAAGCAAAATATTCAGGAAAGAACTACTAAATTAATACTTTATCCCAAAATGCCACATATGCCTCACCCTCTCTGTTCTATCCAAAACCAATGACCAGAGTCTCGCCCAGTATTCTCAGAGCTGACCCAGTTTTCCCCACTGGTAGGGGTATCACCCTCCTTGCGGGTGTATGTGCTGTGGGCTATCCCCAGGAGCTGACCACTACTTGAATTACCTTGGTGACTGATGACAACCTTTAATTTGTAAGAGTTTGTAACAGGTCAAACCCACCATCGGGTAGTACACAGACCACAAAGTCTCATGCTAGAAGCAGTGACCAATTTTTATACCCTTTCCCCTCTTTCATTCTTATCTTTCTTCAGCATCTTCTCCCAACCACTGCTCTCTGGTTTTACTTTTATCTGGAGACTAGCCAGTGACTTCTTGTTCCTTGGCTTTTTTCTGACAATTTTTTTTCATGGGTAACAATGGGGGAATCCTAAAAGTTAAACAGATTGGGAAAAACCTTGTAAGTGGCCTTATCATTGTTAACATGTTAAAGAAAAAAAAAAAAAAGGACATTGTGAAGACCTTATCCCTTTCAATACTTCAGGTATCTTCTTCTGTATCAGTGATTCAAGGAGTGAGCTCCACATGCAGAAGAGGGACCCCAAAATGCAAATGAACATGGACAAAAGTGTCAACGGTTGATTTAAATATACAATTTATATATTCAGAACTGTGACATTAATTCTTTCTGGGAGAAAAGTGATTCAAAATGTTTTTGATGCATAGTTAAGGCACCCAACTGTCAAAAGCAGAGACCCCGTGGGGCTCAGAAGAACTGCAGTCTACGTCCCAAGATTTTCTGGATATAAATTTGCATGGTATAGTCATAATAGCTTTTGAGCTTTTTATATGCATTTGGCACCGAGACTGGGATCCACAACTTTGTAGACACTGCAATGACGTTAAACATAATAGCTATACTATAAATAGTGTTTGTATCTACACACACATGCGTGCACACACACACAATTACATACATATATTCTGTAAAAAAAAAAAAAACTTTTTGAGATCCTTGGGTATGTGTTTGCTTTACTCCATTTTAGAAGAAAATTACTCTTCTTCTAATAAAATTATTTTATAGCTTCTCCATTTTTAAAAGCTGTGAGAAATGTTGAGAAGCAGAACTCTGTGCTGCCAGAAGAGAGTCGAGGTTGGCTCTCTGTTCTATTACAATGTCCTTTCATTACTGCACAGCAGTTCCTGGAGCCAGTGAGTGTGGTGTATTGATGAATCTGAACACGGACCCCTGGCATAATGTGAGGTGGTTGTTACCCTCGTCCGGACCTCTTGAGTAAGGAGAGAAAAGTTGAAATTGGAATCTAATGGTATCTCTTTCTCAACAACTGAACATAATAAAAAGTTGATTTTCTACATAGCCCTGTCTTTCCAAAATGCTTCACAGGGGCTCAGCATACAGAAGAATCTTGTTATGAGTTTGTTATTACCCATATTCGAATATAAGTATATTCAAGACAATCCCAGAGCCCTACTACATAAAATCCCGACAGAGAAAGATGGATAACACGGAGTAATCTTTAAAACAAGTATTGTTCTTGTTCACCAGCCCCAGGACTGTAGGGGGTTACACTGTCTATACCATGACCCACTCGTTTTCCTCTGATCTAAGTGACCTCAGTGTATATGATGATAATGTTCCTGTCCCATGTATATGTGTAGTACCATGTGTTTCTAGTGCCAGCACCCAGAACTTTGGACATGTTCAGTCGTTGACATCAAGACACTTCTCACTGTCCAGCTATGGGATTAACATTTTCACCAAGGAGATCATCCTCTCAGAGGTGATGCCAAGCACGTGGGGACTGGTTTTAAGGGGACAGGCATACTGCAGCTGGAGGTGTTCATTTTCAGCATCTCATAGATAATCCCATTGGTGTTTGCCACAATAGTGTCTTCTAAAAAAGAGGATGTGTCCAACTTTGAATCTCCTGGCTTGAAATGATAAACCATCCCATAATTCTTAATTTAACTCTCCATCTGAAAACAGTTCATATTTAGGGCCATTTTAATGTAAGCAAAACTGAACAATCAGTGAAATATTTTGTTACTCGTGGAATAGAGTCCAGCTCTCACCTTACATGAGCTATTGGTCTGGGCAACATTGAATCGTGGAGCAAAGACCTGCCCAAGTGGATTAAATTTTCCCAGGACACAACTAGTGTGCCTTGGATTGATTATTACCTCTTCTACTGCATTGAAAGGTGCCATGTTCTCCTGAAATTCCCAGCACCTGGGTAAATAGCAACCTCCCAGAGAGTGACTCATTTACCATGCCTCTCCCTAGGGCAAGCCCCAGAAACAATTTTGTCATTCTTGTCTCATATTTCTACTTCATGAGTCAGTGAGTGTGTTCAAGGTAAGTACAGGATTATTCTAATAGGAATAGGCGATTGCTGTCATGATCAATTCCCGCATTGATTTCATTTCATTGTAAAGATCAATTAAAACCCAATTTTGCTTAAGCACATTGATGTAAGTTTTTTGGTATTATTTGACATGAAAAAAACAGCAAAACTGAGTGGTAGATACAATATGAAACTTGTTGATGAATGACTTCAAATTTATTAAAAAAGGACTAACTGACTTCAATGTGAAGGCTGATTTTTTTCCCCTTGTCTATTTCCAAACTAGTGTGGTTATTTTAATTCTAGCTATTTTTAGTCATACATTCCCATTTCAATTATGCTGAAAGTAAAAAGAAATAAGCTAAAAACTGACTGTATGAGGCCAATTTGAACCATGACATTTTTTTTAAAATTGTGATTTATTCTGAACATCAAAGGATAACTAGACACACAGATCCACCTTGCTCCTCTCTTCAAAAAAGTGATTTCAGAGAGAATTATTTCTATATTAAAGGCCAGGAAACTAACCTACCAATAAGCTCTGGCACAGGTGATGTTGGTCCCTACTCTTTGGCTTTTCAGGACTAAAAAGCAATTTCCCTTGTTTCCTCTCCAGTGGGAAAGTAACAAGCAATGTCTCTGAGTGAGTGAGTGAGTGAATGAATGAATGAATGAATGAAGATGCTCAGACACCTCAAACCATACAGAACTTTTACTGACACACATTTCTAGGCCCCTGAAATGCTGCTGGCTTGCGTGTATATGCTATATATAAAAGGAAAGTGCCCCACAGCCAGCTAGGGTTTAATGGAGGCTTAGCTTCCAATGTGCCTACTCTAAACAAAATAATACAGTCTTTGGTAATTCTTTACATGCCATGTTTTCATTTTTTAACCTATGGACAAGTTTTTTACCTCCCTCATCTACTTTGGGACCCTGACATGGACATATTTCACACTAGTTCTCTGTCTAGGACTGGCACGTCACTGTAGGGACCTTTCTCGCTACATTAGGCTACAACACTATTCATTCAGATGCCAAGTTTAAATTACCAATAACTGAAGAAAAAAGGATTTTTGAATTTTGATCAAATATCTTAAAGTTTCTTTTAAAAGCATCCCACTTTTGGTTGACAAAGAAAGCCTCACTGAATGCAAGGTCCACCCAGAATCCACTTACTCCTGGTCCACATGGCTGCCACGGGCCATGTACACATTTGGCACCATTTCACAATTCTTTCCTACCTCCTCT